CAAGTGAATTAACTTAACGTTCTACACACCTATAAAACTTTTGCTTTGTTTTCTATTGTTAATTTATATACATTTTTGTTTTAAGAAATTGCTAAACATTTTCGTCTAGTACTGTACAGTTCTAGCCGATCTCCTAAGACCGCCCATCGAGAGCTCTGCTCGTTCAAGCTTGTTCCAACTATTCCTGTATTGCTCACTCCTAGAGTGTATCCTTTCTATCTTCGCGCAGATTTCTTCAAGGTCACAATTCTAACAAATTGAAATGAACTGTACGTAGGTGTGCCACACATCATCCGCTTCACCACCATAAATTACTTCTACTTCCGATTCTGGTTGATAAATATGATTCCGTCTTAATAGTGATTGCAACTGACTCTTATTATTTAAAGAATCGCTAATTGGACCGAACGAACAAGACTAAAACTAAAACCAAGATCGAATATGTAAGGTCAAGCCCAAATTCGCAAGATCAAACGAAAAATTATTACTTCCGGTGGATTTATAAGTTAAATTATTTGAAGCAACTTTAATATAGGTATTGTATTCTTGGAAGAAAACATTTTTAGTATTTGAAATTTTCAGTCTGCTTTACTATATTTTAACACTCAATATAAAAAAAGAAGAAACATTACCATTATTTGAAAAAAATGGTCTTTATTCCTATGTCTGGATAACACATGGTTGAAATATAGAGACGAAATATTTTTTTTTTTGATATTATTTATTTCTTTCAAGTACTTTGTACTAAGTATTATGTTCGCTACAAAGTCAATTTATGGGTTGAAGGTAGGATTAACTTATGCATTGAAGGAAGGCTAAGTTCTCGAGTTCTCAGAAATCTGAACTATCAACACTATTTTCTCTAAATGTCATGACACGCTCGCATGTATGACAAATTTCGGCATTTAATACAATTATGGTGTCAATATATAGAAAAATTTAAAATAGCGCAATTATCAGATTCAATGAGCAAAACCAAGACTTAACACTCAGGACCAATACCTAGACCGAGACTAAATCAACAAGATCAAAACCAAAGATCAAGACTGTATCAGCAAGATCAAAACCATTCCCAAAATTAGAACTATTTGAGCTTGACCAAGACCAATACAATATATACCAATATATGAAGACTGGGACTCAAACATCTCTTGAATAGTCACATTGTGGTTGAGTTTGACCCACGGCCAAAAAGGGTTGTCAACGCCTGGTCTAGATCATACCGCTCGATCCTGTATCCGAGTCTGTAAGGTTTTTAATATTGCAGGCTGGGAAGAAAGAACTGGTTGAGGTTATGGTTGTTGTTGCGGGGAANTTAGTGGTCAGAACATTGGTGCGTAAAGCCAAAGGTCCCGAGTTCGATTCCCGGCGGGGCTGGGACAACAGCAACAATTTTTCCCTCATTAATTTGTGGTAGTTTGTAGTGGGTAAATAAAAAATCGAAAAAATGATTTCAAATTAATATTGTATCCCTATCAAATTGGTAATTAAGTAGACGATAAAGAATTATAATAGTACCATTTTATAGTATTTATCTTATAATGTTACACTCATTGTAAGTTAGTGATACGTTTTACCACAATGCTGTACCACTGTGAATGTTTTTTCCAAAGTTGAGCAGATGACTTAGCTCACACTAACATACGTAGATGTGCCACACATCATTCGCTTCACCACCCTAAATTACTTCTACTTCCGATTCTGGATAAATATGATTCCGTCTTAATAGTGAGTGCAATTGACTCTCATTAATTAAAGAGTCGCTAGTTAGATTCGAACGAACAAGACCAAAACTAAAACCAAGATCGAATATGCAAGGCCAAGACCAAACGAAAAATTATTACTTCCGGTGGATTTGTAAGTTAAATTATTTGAAGCAACTTTAATATAGGTATTCCATTCTTGGAAAAAAACATTTTTAGTATTTGAAAGTTTCAGTCTGCTTTACTATATTTTAACAATAAATACAAAAAAAGAAGAAACATTACCACTATTTGAAAAAATGTTCTTTATTCCTTTGGCTGGATAACACATGGTTGAAATACTTTGTACGAAGTATTATGTTCGCTACAAGGTCAATTTATGGGTTGAAGGTAGGATTAACTTATGCATTAAAGGAAGGCTAAGTTCTCGAGTTCTCAGAAATCTGAACTATCAACAATATTTTCTCTAGATGTCACGACAAGCTTGCATGTATGACAGAAAATTTCGGCATTTAAGACAATTATGGTGTCAATTATCAGATTAAATGAGCAAAACCAAGACTTAACACACAAGACCAATACCTAGACCGAGACTAAATCAGTAAGACCAAAAGCAAAGATTAAGACTTTATCAGCAAGACAAAAATCATTCCCAAAATTATAAGTATTTGAGCATGACCAAGACCAAGACTAAATAAGCAAGACCAATACAATATATACCAACATATCAAGACTGGGACTCAAACGTCTCTTGAATAGTCACATTTTGGTTGAGTTGGGTTGCCACCGCCTGGTCTAGGTCATACCGCTCGATCCTGTATCCGAGTCTGTAAGGTTTTTAATATTGCAGGCTGGGGAGGAAGAACTGGTTGAGGTTGTGGTTGTTGTTGCGGGGAACGGGAGCATTTATTTTTTCATGACGGCTGGTATCCAGATTTTATTTAGCTCCCTTCTTCTTTTCTATTGAAATTATATGTGTGTTATTTTCATCTTTTATGCTTTGAAAGGCGAATCAAAATGATTCTGTTTATCATTTCGACATATACTTCTTGACAACTGCAAGGTATGCGTTAAACTCATCGTGTTCAGGAAAGATTTATTTAGCTCTTAACCAATTTCCAATTACCTTTTAGTTGCGAGGTGAGTTTGTAGATATCTTTAGTACTGTGTTTCTTCAGTTTCACCAATTCCAACCAATCCTTTTTATGCAGCGTAGAAGTTACCTCCCCGTGTACAGGTAAATGTGTCAGCGACGTCTTTTGTCTTGTTTATCTCTTTGATTGAGTGCAATCGTTTCCTCTCAGTGTTGCTTTAATATATTTTCGTTTGTCATCAAGATACTCATGTTTTACTCTGGTGGTTAGGGTTTTGATTATTTTTTCTTTTTTATCTGGGATGGTGATTTGAAGTTCTGGGTAATTATCTGTCCATATCAGTTGATTTCTGATGACAAAAATTAGTTTAGTTCAAAGGTCTGTATGAATCCAAATGACAAGGCCGTTACAACGTAACGAAGTGGTTTCCAAGGTCCTCTGTTCAAACATTTCTCTGGAGAAATTTGCTATGATCAGACTGAAAGAGTTTCCGAAAGCAACCTCATCTGTTTCCAACTATAGAAATTGCTGTTCAATGCGAAATAATTAGTTACATCGTAATAATGACCTATGAACTATGAAATAGAAGGTTACACTGCTCACGGTCACTGTATTTCTAAAGGCAAAATGAAACAATTTTAAATAAAACTATGAGTACTAAAAATTGGTAGCAGTTATGAAGAGATAAAAAATATTTCTCTATAATTTTAGTACAGTATTATTGCATTGTTTACTAGTATTATCTTGTATATTTTAAAAATTATACAAATACTAGGTAAGTCACTTAAAGTAGCAGATTAAATATGAATAGAGTCGAGCGAGAAAACCAAACATACTGTTACTGAATGTTGTGAAGTTCACTACCCTTTACCAATGGATTTAAAAACGAGTAATCAATGCTTTTATATTAGAAATAAACAAGAATATAACAAAATTTTGACAAAACACGTAAATGTGTGTGCAAAATATTATTGTTAATTAATTTTAGGTACTAAACCACGTGGAAAAATTTTAAGTAATGAATCGTACAATTTTCTTCGTATGGACCATCGTGGACTTGGCCACATATTGTTTGAGAAGCTTGCGGAGCACGGAAAAGATGTAATGCAAGTAAGTAAATTCATACTATCCCTTTTATGTGTTTCTTACCCATAATTATACAGTACGTAATGTAAGTGTAGGTATCTATTGTTAAATTACTATAAGAATTATTTTTATGTCATCGACAATTTAGGGAACATTCTAGTTTACTCTTATTTCACCAACACTTTTACACTGAATATAAAAAGAAATTACAGTAGCAGCACATCACTTTGACCATAAAATATCAGAAATGGGCTAAACCATCACCTCCAGATTGCCCAATATTGTCGATTTGTCAATCACTGATTACGTCAGAGCCGGGCAAACTTTAACTTCGTAGGAGCCTCTACTTGAGGTTAGTTTGAGTCACTCCATACCCTTCAATGAGTACGAGAGAGTAAGCAGTAATGACCCATATTGCTTTCTCTTTTTCTTCTCCCTTCCACTCCCATATCAAGCCCCTTCATCCCATAGACGAGCGAAGCCTCTCTCGCAACTTAAATAATAGCATGCTGGACTGCGTTCGCAATACTATTAGGTTCGGCTATGGAAGAGGGGACTCACCTACGAAATGGAAGAGATAAGAAAAGGAAAGGATCATCTCACTCGCACTCGCAGGATCAATGAGGAGCTCCTTGGCTATACCTGAGGAGCACTCGGGAGTCAAAAGAGCCGAGTTTGCCCTGCTCTGGATTACGTCGCCAGAATCGTTTTGTTTTGATCTACCTTAATAGTAAACAGACTTTATATAGATATTGGCCACAGAGTATTAAACCCAAGTAGAAAGAAGTCATGCATAGGCCTGTATTGGTCCAAAATTCGGTCAATATTCAAATACTAAGGCTGGCTATATTAACGTTTCGCCAAGTTTGGTTCAATAGTGGGACAGGGAAATATTGTCTTGTCAATGCTAGTCCAATGTTTGGGCAATCTTCGAATGCAAAGGCTAGGTTTATTCCCTTTTTGGCAAGTTTGGTCCAATACTAAACAGTCAAATAAGGGTATCATACTTTCGGTAATAATTAATAATGTTTCGTTAAGTTTGTTAAACAGTGGGCAGTCAAGTATGTGTTTGCCAATAATGGATCATAGCTCTGGTAATCTTAAAATTCTAATTAACGTTTTGTTACGTATGGTGTAATACTGGGCCGTCAGGTATGGGTTTTTCAACACAGGATCAAAATTCGGTGCAGCTTTGAATGTCAAAGCTAGGTACATAAACGTTTTGTAAGGTATATCCATTACTGGGCAACGAAGTATGGGGCAAAATAGAAAGTTGGAAGACAACATACTTACTCAATCTTGGATTGGATTTATTCATCATGCCGTGACACAATATTAGCCGCCCAATTCTTAGTTCAGTATTTTGGGCTAACATTGTTCATCAAGTCTTGACCCAATATTGGCTGCCCAATGTTGTGTTGGTATTATTCACCAAGTGTTGGTTTAGAATTTGCTACCCAGTAGTGGACCAAGCTTTTTAAAGGAAGTATCAAACCAGACATTTGTCATGCTTAGTCCAATATTGCTTGCCAATATCGTACTAGAATTGAACAATCTTGGGCTGAGGTTAGGTACAGCTTGGTTTATTTATTCACCAATTCTTGGTTCAGTATTTTGGGCTAACATTGTTCATCAAGTCTTGACCCAATATTGGCTGCCCAATGTTGTGTTGGTATTGTTCACCAAGTGTTGGTTTAAAATTGGCTGCCCAGTAGTGGGCCAAGCTTTTTAAAGGAAGTATCAAACCAGGCATTTGTCATGTTTAGCCCAATATTGCTTGCCAATATCGGACCAGAATTGAACAATCTTGGGCTAAGCTTAAATACAGCTTGGTCCGGTCGTGATTTCCAATATGGGTGTGAGGTCGTCTATAAAAGACAGAATAATTGCCGTATATTGTTAAATAATTGGTTGACCCGAAATCTCTCAGCGAATAATCATAATCACCGTAAAGTCTTGAGCCCGAAGTCTTGTTAGACACGCACCTCCACTTGTTTTCACCTTAGAATGAACGCCCATTGGGAAATTTTGAAGAAAATAAATAAGTTTACTTACTAATCATGAAAACTTGACTTATTTTATTTACTTTTTAATGTTCAAAAGATCTTCGTATTCGAGTATCCGTCTTTAACTTTTGCTTTTATTGCAGATAGATACCATAACAGGAGAGAAAGACACATTTGAGAGTTTTCGCCTAAGGTGTATTAGAACAGCATTACATATGAAGTCTAATGGTCTTGGTCCCCAAGACATAATTACAATTTGCACTTGCAACACCTTGAATGCTCCAGTTCCTCTTATAGCATCTATTTTAATCGGAGTTATTCCTAATACTCTGGATCCGTCATTCTCTGCAGATGAGTTTAAACACTACCTTCAAATAATAAAACCGAAGGTCATGTTTGTAGCTTCAGAAATTGAACCTTTAATTAAGGAAGCAATCAAAGCCAATAATTTAAACACGGAAATAATAATTTTCGGTTCTTCTTTTAACGATTTTTTAAAGCCATCTGAAGAAGAAGAAACTTTCGTACCATTTCTTCCCTTAAGTATTAGAGATACAGTTCTTATTTTATTCAGTAGTGGTACTACAGGAACACCCAAAGCAGTTTGCTTAAGCCATATTAGTTTTTGTCTTTTCGTTTCACCGACTGGTATCAAGTAAGTATAGGTATAAAGACTTCATGAATAGTAACTATCTAACGACATTGTAAGATTTTTGTGATGTATTTCTTACGATAAGTAAGAGCGATCTCTTTTTACTGTGTTCCTCATCAGCTAGCATTGGACAACAGTTCTGAATTGTAAAATTTATGTTTCTATCCCTTCTATGTCTGGAATACATATTCGTTTTTTAGGAGTAACCGCAATCATTTTCTTCCCTTTTCATCGTTGCATTGGATATCTCATGTTGGCGCAACATTTTCTAATATTGTGCACGGCTCTGTAAAGTTAGTCTGTCCAACATTTGATAATCCACGAACATTTTGTGATATCGCCAGAGACTATAATGTAAGTTGCTAGAAATAGTTTTTTATTTACTGTTACCAAGTATAAATGTAAATATTATACGCTATGTCTGATCAATATTCCGGAATATTTAAGGATAATATCTGTAAAAAGTGTGCATAAAAAGTATTCCAGTTAACGAGCCAGCAGTGATTAAAAACAGTTACCGCGTTATCTTATCGTATTTCGATGAAACACACATACCTATTCGTGACCTTCGCAAACAGCTGATACGTAGACAAGTCAATTGTACGTAATGATTAGTAATAATCTGCTTTCGTTGCCGTTCGATTAGTAAAGTATTACCACAAAATACAAAAATAAGTAGAATGTGGAAATATCAAGCAAAAGGCAGAATATGCTCACATGGTGGTCACGTATAGACGCTGCAATCGAAATACACTATCGGTACATGGTAATACGTGTCATCGTCATTATTGCCGAAGCACTGTACTACCTGCTCACATATAGATTAAAAATTTCAATAATGTTGAAAATGTTGGTTTGGTTTGTATTTGTTAATTAATTTTCCGAAGTGCTTCTGCTAACAAAGAAACTGGGATTCTACTACTGTCGCTAATATTATGTTGCATAAGAAGTGTTATGAACCTCAAACTAGTTTCACCAACTTAGCTTTAACAACATGTAATGATACACATTTATGTTTTAGCTGCGTACAACTTCTTTGACTCCCTATCGTTTGATGGAGATATCAAAATATTGCATAAACAATGGAGTTACTCTTTCTTTGGATAACATAATTGTCGGTGGAGCACCTTTGACTAAAGAACATATTCGATTAACTACTAAAGCTTTCCCAACTGCAAAAATAACCAACGTTTATGGACAAACTGAACTTGTAAACATTTCATTTTTCCCCAGAAATGAGAAGCTAGCCAAAAAACACGAAGAGAAGGTTTTCAAAGGATCATGTGGAAAGATTGGTCCTGGAATAACAATGCGAGTAAGGGAGTTAACTTACATAGAATGCCTAAGTGTGTTTACAATTGTGTGTTCAGATGGTAACTTTATCTACAAGACCATTTAGAAAGAAAAGTTTAGAATATATTACATTTTTTGCCAAAAACATACCTACATTCTTTCGCGATTTGATATACAATCGTTTACAGTTTACACAAACCTGTTGGAGCTGTCTGCGATGCGTTGATGAGATGAGATCCACCTCTGCTACATACTAAACATTCAAGGTCATCGTGTTTGCTGGCACTAGCATTACCTCGTCACATTATTCTGACATCTCACACAGAGGCATTAAAGAAATACCAGTCTGTTATAAATCTCCCTAACCAAACAATGACGTCGCCAATGGATATAGGTACATCTCCGAACAGTCTGCCATATTATTGCCTATTTAGTATTACATGTAATACATTGCCGATTGCTATTTAGGAAATGTATAGATTTCCTAGGAAATGTGTGTAGTACTATTTATTTCACAAATTTCCGGGCGATTTAAGAAATGTATACAATGACGGATTTCATACTTTTCCGGTAACACATACATGTACATTAACTAGACATATTACCTTCGTTGTTTCTTACAGAGATTAATTTTACACTTTTTACCCTACGACACATGCATAGTAGTCACCTTGTCCTTGAGATGACATTACAGCATAGTAACTGTTGTCAGCCATAATTAACACTTCAGCCACCATTCATACACTATCTTTGGTCAGCCATCTTTAATCAGTCATTTTTTATCAATCAAAGCTAACCGTTGAGTTTAAATTTCGAAACACCGGCATGCTCTAGAGATATAAATTAAAAGATACCGAATTGATTCCTGGTCCAAGTTTCCGTCAATAAGGGGTAGTAATATTCCACAGATAACATTTTACTTCCAGGAGCGGTCAAGACAGAGGGGCAGGGGTGGATCAAGCGCCCCAAATAGAAAACTTATCAACGTGATTGTCAAAAAAATATTGATGAGAAAAAAAATTGTGTTTCTGAAAAGTCCCACCTTATCCCAATGACTAGAGCGGTACCTGTTCACTTCTTTGCTGTCTTCGTTTCCTTACCCAACCAACTGGTGTGAATGAAACACTCAAAGTGTTTAATAGTAATCTCTGATAAATTTATTCTAACAGCGTTTGTAGATGTTTAAGATGTCATTTTACAACATATAGATATTCTCTCCATCATTTTTTCCGTAGATTGTAGATTTGGATACTGAAGACATTCTAGGTCCTAATGAAGAAGGCGAAATCCGTATCCGGTCCCATACATTAATGAACGGTTACTATGGAGTGGATTCGTCAGATGTATACGATTCTCAGGGTTGGTTCAAAACAGGAGATATTGGCTATTATGATGAAGACGAATTTCTTTACATTGTTGGTAGATGTAAAGAAATTCTCAGATACAAATCGTTTCCAATAAATCCTTCCATTTTGGAAGACATTTTGTTACATCATCCGGCTATCAAAGAATGCATTGTAATTGGAGTTCCTCATGAGATAGACGGTGACCATCCCGTAGCATTTGTGACCCTTAAAGAGGGTTACAATATTGATCCTAATGAATTACAGAATTTTGTTGATGGACGAGTCGATGACCGCAACAAATTAAGGGGAGGTGTTATACTAATTGACAAAATACCATTAACGCCAACAGGAAAACCTCAGCGTCGTGTGTTAAAAGAAATGTTACAAACTCTTAAAGCTTAATAAACAAAAGTTACTTGATAGTATTTCTTATCATTGTTACTGACTTTTTTTATGAATGTTCAAATATGTGCATAACGTATTTCGTTTTCCTTTTGTAAAGTTAAAAAGATAATTTAAGAGATTAAACTTTCAAACAAGAAAAATTCTTTAACTCATGTTTTCCTACCAGTAATAGAAAATAGTAATTTAATCCTTTGCCTTTGCTTACCACCGCAAACGAGCTACCAGAATAACGGAACCACGTCAAGCCACCCTAATGCGCCAAATACCCCTGTAGCCAACGACTAGCAAAGCGAAGGAAATAACCACGGTCACCCATTTGCAGCTTGTCTTATAAACAGAAAATTTTATTTTCATTTGAAATTCTCCTTTAATATTTTGCCCATTTTGTAATTTAGCCCATAGTTTACTACATAAAACATTGTACACTACTTGAAATTAAGTAGGTGAACGACAAGCACTTAAATTGTGGTTGCTTTAAGTTTTATAGCTTGAGAACCTTTAAGAGTTGATTAGGATAGGCTCCTAATAAAGTTGGTATACTTACCATAAAAGTTAACAAATGCAGGAAAAGAAAGTTTGGAAGCGTTCGAAATGTGGTGTTACAGGCGAATGATATTGATACCGTAGATAGAGAAGGTTAGAAATGAAGAGGCATTAGAAAGAATAGGTGAACAAAGGACTCTATGGAAATCAATAAGAAATAGGCGAGATAGGTTGGTAGAACACCTTCTCAGGCATGAAGATCTAGTCAGAGACATATTAGAGGCAGAAATGCAAGTTTGGAAGGGTAGAGGTAGACCTAGATTAGATTACTGTTCGCAAATAGTTAACGATATGAGTTGTTCTAATTTTAATGAAATGCGAAGATTAGCTCAGGATAAGAAAGAGTGGAAGTATGTGCCCAACCAGTCTTATGATAATGATGATGAGGTGCAACTAAATTGGCCTTAAGGTATAGGCGAATGGAGTATAGAACCGAGCGGCATGGCCTAGAGGTCTAGACCATTGCTTAGCAGGACGCCGGTTCGATTCCGGGTCCGTCCGTCTGCCTTGGTCCAAGTTTTTCTGTGGTTTCCTTGGATCACTTAGGCAAATGCTGAGGCAGTAATATTCCACAGATAATCTTTCACTCTCTTCTGCCTTCATTTCGTCCGTCTCATCTTTCTCACCCGAACCATCACCTACCCATTCCCACGATTCCTGAAAGCAAGCTGAAGAGGGCTTTCCGCCCTAACTTCCGGCATAGCCCGGAGGGACTGCCCGCCCACCAGCATTACTGGCTGGTGGGAATGAAACACCCACAAGTTTTTTTTTTTTTTGGAGTATAGAAACAAGCTCCTTCATTCGCACGCTGAGTAGTTCAGGTAAACTGGTGGCTACCGCAGAAATAACGGCGGTATCTATTCTTTCAGTTGAAGGCGGCTATTTTTGGTTGTTCTCCCCGCTAGCGGGATGTTGAGCATCTCGATGTACCTTGGTGATAGGTGTGTTTATTTTATTATTCATTTATACCTATAGGAGTACCTGAAGGAACTGCCTCAGGAAATATGCATAATACAAGCCTGGAAGAAGTGACAAAGAGGTGAGGGCACATTTCTTGTTCATCCAGATGAGCATTAGATATGAAACATCACACGAAATGTGGCTTAGAGGAAGTCAATGCTCCAAACCACCGACACATTGCTATTGATTGTCATGTGTAAACGTGTACGTGATAATTGATATATTTATTCTCGACGGCTTTTGAGTATGCCCGTAGGCATGGACGGTAACCTTTCTACTAAAGACGGAAAGGGTAATAAATCGTACACTGTGTCGCTCATATAAAAGGGTAATACTTTTAAGATAAGTCATTTAAGTTCGAGTTCAAGTCAGTTCTAGTTCTTGTAAAAGTTCAACCTCAAGATCAAGACAATTCTATTTCAGTAACACTGTATCTTCGCTGAATCGTTGTCCAACATAAGAATAGTTGTTAATATTGTATTTTAAGTGCAAAATTAAAAGTATTAAAAACTTCGATTTTATTTTTGCAACATCATATCTCTTCGAGTAACAACCAGAGGATGTGCTTGAAATTTGAAAGGATTGAAACACGAAAAACGCTTCGTTGCTGACTAGGGAGCACGTAAAGAGAACATAATTTCTGTATTTTTTATTTGGGAGCATCCCCCTACAAACCTTGAACATGGTCCAAGTAAAAAAGTCAGTTTTTGACTAAATCGTCACCACATAAAGAGCACATTGCTCCTGTGGTTCCTATATTTCTGTACAATATTATTTGCTACTAAAAATCAAATCATGACAATGAACCATTTCTTTCATTGAAAATTTTTAGGATTTCAGTCCAGAGAATATTAGA